ATTAACATATGTTCAATTTATATACTTAAATTAATACGTAGCACGAGATTATATTATGATAACTATTAGTCATACTTTTATGAAAAACTCATCAATTAATTAACCATATCTATTCTCATTTTTTGACAATGGGTTATTTTTACTATATCTACCATTGGGTCACTATTACTTAATTTTAATTTTAAAACTCGTTTAGAAATCCTTGTATTTATTTATCAGTCAACTATTTAAGAAAAACTTAACATTTGATTAATTCACCGTTATTCACGCTGATTAATATTGTGATATTTAAAATTTCAAAATATATTTTTGTTAAAGGAGAGTGGCCATCCAATTAAATTTAATATAGTTAGAATATATAATTACGTACATGATTAAAAAAGGAAACTGGAACAATATAAAAGTCATGAAAAAGTAGTGAAATAAGTTACGGAGTGGTTGTTATTATAACATAAAATGAAGATGAAACAATATGGTGATAGTAGATATAAAATTAAAGTCAAGAGAAAATTCTTTAAGTACGAGTAAATTAAATCATACGGACTACGGATTAACACATTTCTTTCAGGAATATATATATATATATATATATATATATATATATATATATATATATATATATATATATATATATATATATATATATATATATATATATAGATAAGAGATCACATACTAACCATGCTTAAAATACTAACTTACTAACTCAATAATATGCAACACATTGAACTTCAATATGCAATACAGATAATGTAAAGATGCACACTGTGAATTTCAATATGCAATAAAAACAATATGCAAAACTTTGAACTTTAATATGCAGTACAAATAATATGCAACACTTTGAACTTCAATATGCAGTACAAATAATGTAAAGATGCACCGTTTTTTATAGTTTGTAGGTTAGCATGGGAGGAATGGTTAGTATGTGATCTCACCCCTATATATATATATATATATATATATATATATATTTCTCATAATAAGGCACATTAGAATTTTAATTTGTATTTTGCCTTTTCATGTAAACTAAGAAAGTAAAACTCTTTTGATTGAAGAAAATTTCCAACAGAAGAAAAAGAAACAATATGAAGCATAAAATAATTTTATAAATAATTAAAAAGTTGCATGAATTTATTTTTGTAACACACGAAATTGAATGTGATAATTAATATTTTAATAATGTGACAAAGATAATATGTATAGGACAGAAGTATATGTGCATGTGGGGGGTACGATGCATTTGAAAACTACTGGCTATATTGTGCAAGAAATTAAAAAAAAAAGTTCAAAAAGGTCCAATTTATTTTAGTAACAGTAACATAAAACTAGGAAAGCAAACCGGTGGCCATGAAAAACATCACAAAGAGGAAGATAGCTGCGAAGGAACGAAGAGAAGGAGCCATTTTTTGTGTTTGGGAAGATGAAGATTATAGGAAGCTAATTTATTATATGAAGCTCTTGCCCTTTGGCACTGCTTGTTTATATAAGTGAGAGGCTGGCTAGCTTTTAGCGCAGTCCTTTTCTTAATACTTTTTTTACACTTCTTTAGTGGCAATGTTAGGCAAGTTTTAGCATCTCAAACTTACACGACTTCAAAAACCCGCTTGGCAGGTAAACTTTGCTTTCTGACTTAATAGCCTTATCAATCGATTTTTTTCGAACATCCTACATGTATTTTCATATCACACACACAACACACTGAAGTGTGTAATAGTAAGATCGACTAACTAAGAAGTTATTTTTGTTTAATTTATTGAAAAAAGAATACATATTTTAGTGATTTCAATGTATGTTTTTTTTTTTATTTTGCTAAACAGTTACATTTTAAACATTTCTTATCTTAATCCAACAAAATTAGTGTTGATATAAATACAACAAATTGCATAAGTAGTACTAAAATTCACAAATATGCAACACAATTAAGAAAAAGTATAGCAAAATGATGATATACGAGATAAATATCATCTTTCATTTGCTACGTTCATGTGAAAATATAAAAGGAATATCATCAAATGTTCAATATAATAGAAAAATTCAACGTTCTTCTTCTTTGCTCTAGGTTAATATTAGTTCTAATTTAATTTATAGTTGAACCGTGAGAGCTAAAATTTAAACCATATTAATTAAGTTGTACAATTGCACAAACATGATAAAACAAAACGTCATATGCACTACATTACTAGAAATGAAGTCATTAAAGATTTTTAAAACTTTAACATTCTATCAATACATACCAAAATATAACACAAAATTGACAAATTATATCGTGGGATCGGTGTACCATGTGCATGGTATACCGATCCCAAATACGGTACCGTTTTTTATTACAAACGAAGCATACAGGGCAACTTCTTGGATGGTGGCATACTCTCTCCACTCACACATACCTCATTTACGTTTCTTTTTGCTTCTTCGTTCTTTACTTTTAAATTTTTGATCATCAAAAGCTATCATGTTTTCAACTAATTTTTTGATTTAAGAACACTACTGGAACGTATTACAATTTTGTGATCAAATTTTCATCCTTTCAAATAAATTAATTACTTTTTCTTTCTCTCTTAGTCCTTATTGATACACTTTTCCTTTTTTTACTCAACTAAAATTACAACCAAAAATTAATTATTTTTTATTCAGAATAAATATTTTTTACATTTATACAGTTATTTGTAATATATTTTAGTGTTTTTAGACATTAAATTTGGTTATTTTGATTTACATTTAATAAAGTATGAGATTACATTTTCATATGTGATTTATATTTCTACATGTGTGAGTTATGTTTATTGACAATTTCTAGAGTTACATTTGATAATATATGAAGTTACATCTTCTTGTACGTGAGTTACATCTTTTTATGAGTGAGTTACAGCTTCATACGCGTGAGTTACATTTAGACTTCCCTCAACAAGTAACATTTTCCATGCACCTAAGTTGGATTTTCCATCAACGTGAGTTACATTTTCCAAAATACGAGTTGCATCGCAAATAAACATGTGCTATTGAAACTGAAAAATCATTTCTTTGCATAAAAAATGATTTTTTTTGGCAAAAAAATATTATTTTCCAAAAAAAAAAGTTTTGACACATTTTTTTTAAGAAACAATTTTATGGTCTTAAGTATTAAAAACAAAACATATTCACTATTTACGTAAAGTGATTGAGCAATTAGCTTAGACCCCTTGTTTTCATTGTTTACATTTGATAATTTATGAATTTATATCTTCTTATGGGTGAGTTACACAATTTTATGTGTGAATTACATCTTCTTGTGCGCAAGTTACACTTAGATTTGCCCCAACAAGTTACATTTTGCATACACCTAAGTTAGAATTTTCCATCAACATGAGTTACAATTTTCATAACACTAGTTGCATACCAAAATAAACCCTAGCTATTGAAACAAAAAAATTCACATTTTTTTGCAAAAAAAAAAATGTTTATTTGGCAAAAAAATATATTGAAAAAAAAAATTTATGGCCTTAATACTAAAATCAAAACATATTCACTACTTATGTAAAGTAATTGAGCAATTAGATCACGTTTTTCATTATTTACATTAAAATCAATGTTTTATTTTCTCTTCTCCGTATTAGAAAAGTTACATCTCAATTTGCCTGCAGTTACATTGCATATCAACGCAAGTTACATTTCATTACTCATAAGTTACATCACCCTGTTAATGGAAATTAAAAAAATGTTACTGTTCACGCGTGAATTAGCTGTGGGAGCACCATGCTGACCGTGGGAGCACGTGGGCTGCTCCCACGGTATACCAACTCCACAAAATTATCTAAAAAACAATATACATATAAACACACACACTTTGCTATTTTAGGGAGACATGAATACATATATATGGTATAAAATTGTTGATCTATAAAATATATTTATTGGTATGGAAGAAAATATAAAAAATTCAAATGCATTATTTTTAATGGTCCGATCCGGTATTTTTCGGTTCGCAAAATCTAGGACCAATCTCGTACCGTTTCAAACGGTACAGTTTCAGTTTGGGATAAAAATCTATAGTACCGTTTAAATACTTGATATTCGGTTTGGTACCATTACGGGCCGATTCTGTACCGGTTTGGTTCGGGTTTTATGCACCCCTACTCATACGTATCTAACCTTTTCTGATTTTGATTTAGAAAAAGGGGGAAACGAAAACATCTTACTATCTTAGTTTTTCTTTTGCCCTTGTGTGATTTTGCTTTTGCGAGAGAGAATAGGAAGGATCACAAATATATTTTGATCTTTTTTGCATTTATTTTGATTTTTTCCCCTCACTACGATTTTACTGTAATGATTTTGTCATTAAACATCGCATGTTCATTTGGAGGCCAGAGCTTATGCATTCTAAGCAGGATAAATTTGTCGAAACTGGTTTCGTATGAAATTAATTGATCTAAATATTGATTGTTTTAAACGATTCTGCTATTGGATTGTTTTTTTTTTTTTTTGCATATCTAAAATTGTGATAAACATATACTGGCATACTGTTCCTGATAGATCTCTCAGTTGTTCAGAGGATGGTTCTTTCAGACTTGTTTCTACTTTTGACGACACTATGTTTCACCATTTCCAACCTCTATTCACCTCCATTCTCCAGAGGGCCATTGGTTGGATTTTTTGGAAGGAGTATGCTACTGGTGAGCTTCATGTTCATCTTCTTTAAACATGGTTCAACTCATTAAACATCACATTTTCCTTTGGAGTGCTAGTCTTGAACATTCTCACCAGATTAAATTTAGCCTTAAATTGTTTCAGAGGCATATGATTCCAAGTTGTTTCCACGAAGTCTTAAGCCTACCATTCTAACCTGGAACAAACATATGCACAGATTGCAACTCCATAGTCATACTTCTAACTTTGGCAAGGGGTTCCTATACGAGAAACTCTCAGGGTATCCTCGTTTTTGCCCTTCATTATCCTACTGGCCCATCTCTTCTTTTATCTAAACAACACATGATGAACTCTCAGGGTTTGCAAGTTTGACCACAAGTTAAAAACAGAACTTTTTATTTGATAGCCCTGAGAAGTTTATTTTCACCATTCACTCGATGTGATAGGTAACTATTGGGTATTTGTGTTGCCATTCAAACTTACAGACGAAATGGTACATTGACACATTTAAGTAATAGAAGTAACACAAACAACAATTTCAACATCAAGTCTACCAAACCAATGACCATGACCGAGTGGTAAAATCAATGACCATGAAAGAGTGCTTGAATTGAGACCACATGGTCTCCGTTCACTTCAGGTGAGAGCTTGAGGTGGAATGATCTTCGTTCACTTCGGTGACTTTTTGGGTTTGGTAAGTGGTAGCCGGGATGGTTCTAAAGGATTAGTAAGGCAATTACACTTGGTATACAAAAGAGGTGTATACATAGGATTGCCTAGACTAATAAAACTGTGGAGGCTTTCAGTTCAATGCTTTCATAGTGAGAGATATCTTTTCTCCAACACCCAATTTTCTATCATGGCTTGAGAGTGCAGTGACTGATCAGCAGGGACCAAATGACCAGCAGCCAACACCACAACATGGGTCAAATTCCCATTGCTCTGCACATATCCAGCTAACTCTTCATTCACCATCCAAACGTTTCTTTCGGCTGCCAAGAACTCTCCGAGTCCTTTCCACCGCATTGTCTCGATCCATGCCTCCGTCGACACCACCCCATCCTGCAGGTCACACTGCCCTTGGTACAACAAAACCTTAATGTTCGGAACCAAGAACTCCACCATCTCCCTAGCACTCTTCATAATGTCCGAGGTCAGAGCTTGGTCGACTTCATTACTGCAAGTCTCAAAAGTGATATCTTCCTTCGCTTTTAACAATCGTTTCATTTCCTTGTTGTTCAAGAAATCGGCCACAATTGCGTCCTCGTAAGGAATTTGCCTTCTGAAGTCCAAGAGTGTTGCCAGTCCAGTCATGTTCTGCAATCTCGCCAAGACGTTTGACCTAGCACTTGTGGCCTCAATCCAATGCCCCGCTTCGGTTAGAGCTACGGCCGCCTCTTGGAGTTTCTCCAGCTCTGTCCTTTGCTTGTCGTTGATTAGCCCTAAATTATAGGCGTTTATAGCATGAGTGGCCACTTGAGCTACCGGGTGAGTCAGGCCATTCCCTATGGCGACACCAGCCAGATTCACTTTACTTGACTGTGGCAAAACGGAGTTCTCTTTCAGGATATAGTACCCCACCGCCGGGACATATTTTCCGGCGTAACTTTCACCGGTGATATAAATCGGGCGTGTCCTAAACGAAACAGCGTCCAACGCTATGAACTTTTGGATGGCGATGAAGAGATGCCTGGCGACATCGCGTTGGTTTCTAGGAATCTCTTCGGGAGATGCGGAGACGCTAAACCCTGTTCCAATAGGGTTATCGAGGAAAAGCAAGCCAAATATCCGATTCCAGGACCCTGGATTCGGATCTAAGGAGATCCGTCCGGTTTTCCTGGACACTAGCCAAGGACCGAGCTCATAGAAGTTTCCTATCATGGAGGAGCAGCCGGGACCGCCTTGGAGCCAAATCAAAAGCGGAGTCTGCGAGTGAGTGGAAATTGGGTTCCTGGCTTCGTAGAATGTGTAGAAAATGGCAGAGCCGGTGGTTGAGTTCACCGTGAGGTAGCCGGATTTGGTCGGAAGGGCTTCTTGAGGAAAGGGTGAATCAGCTAGTGATATGGAACACAAGAATCCAGAAGTAAGAACAATACTAAAGTAGAAGATGCTGGGCATGATACAATGAAAACTGGGCGTCGAAGAAGAAGAGGAAGGAGCCATAGCCAGAAGCTGAAAGAGTGAAGTACTGAAAGCTAAGGAAATGTTTACGGGTAGTTCAAAACTGTTCTCTTAATTACCAGCAACTTGCAGTAATTTCGCCCAATCACCTTTAGCTGTAAATCTTTTATCCTTCCCTCTAACCTAAAAAAGCATATATACAAACTAAAAGTAATTGATATGTGGAGTATAAAAGTTCGAGAAGTGAAGGCTGGGGAAAAACAACAAAGAAAAGGAGGATCATTGGGCATGTCCGAAAATGGGTCATGTTAAAATTAATGTGGAGGGGCGGTGCGGGCGCAAGGAATGGAAGGGGGGCTGATATGGAAGGAGGTTTTTTGGAGGGAGCAGACGGGAATGGATGGGTGACGTACCAGTGAACGCTAAGGCTAACCGAAACCCAGCCCGTCAATAAATTTAATTTCAGACTAGTTTATACGTATTCACTCAGTCAATTCAGTTTTTTCCTGCAACCCAGTACCGTCAATATATTCACTCAGCACCTGTTTTTTTAAAATTAAATGCATAAACCTTCACTTTTTTAATACACTTCAGTTATGTGACACTTTTATTTTTATCAATAATTATGATTTAAAAAGTCAAACATTTCGATGTAAAAAAATTAAAATTTTTAAATATTTTTTTGTAAGTAAAAGTGGTATGTTGAAATAAAGATAAAAGTGGTGTTTATATTTAAATTCTGGTCCAATATTTTGAAAAATATTAATCAAAAAATGAAATTAATTATTTCATCATTATGGATCTAATTTTCAGGCATTGGATTTAACTACAATAATTTTTTTGAGCCCAATGATTTCTTGCCGTTGGATCTTGCTACAAAAGTTTTTTTTTTTTAAATAAAAGTTCTTTTTAATATGCATAGCTGCACAAAGCAAATGGAGGAAGATGCACGCACATACCATGTCCACAAAATAGCCCCTGCGCATGTCAGGTGCATTATCAACCGCCGGAGCCTAGATTGCAACAATCAGCAGCAAGCAATGGGACCGGGGTGGATTGGCCGGCTATATCCCCCTCCCCAATGTTTCACTAATTCACTATGAGACCTTGCTATACGAAAATTGGCTTGGGTTGCAGCCAATTTTGGCGTGAAAACTTCCCATTTGGCTTTTCACCCCTTCCCATTGCGATCAGCCTAAGAAACTAGCAATTTGGAAGGCTGCGCTTTAACGTATGCAATGGAACGGTTGAACAAAAGTCATTATTAACTATTAATGGGCTGCTAGTTGTTCATCGCCGCCACCAACACTTTGGCATTTTCATGTAATATTATGTAAGAAAACGTGTATTTTGACATCCATTTGACAATTTTGCCAACTATATGGCAGATTTGCATATGACATTAGGGTAGAAAAATATTGTTTTCTTTGAAACGAAATGCCAAATATTATGAGAGAAACTGCCAATATAATGTTCAACTTTTTTTTATAAAAGATGAGAAATTTATTTTTTATGTTGTCAACTTCTTTTCGTTTTTATAATTTTGTGTATTGGGTTCATATTTTGCCAACTTTATGGCAGAAAATGGTTACTTTGACATAAATCTCAACATACTTCCACTTTTATGGCAAATCTTATATTAATATTACGGCAGAAAAAATCTTATTTTATTCCACTTTTATGGCAAATCTGATATTATGACAAATCTAATACTCCCTCCGTCCCAGGGAGAAGTTCCCGGGTTGACTTTCACACATATTAAGGAAATAAAGTTACTGAGGGGTAAATTTTACTGTTTGGCACTGTTTCGACACTGTTTTGCACTGTTTTGCACTATTTGGCACTATTTTGATGTAGAATAACTTTCCATTTAGGGAAATGGGAACTTCTTGTTGGGACTGCCAAAAAAGGAAATTGGGAACTTGTCCCTGGGACAGAGGGAGTATATAGCATGATTTTTAGGTAACAAAATGGCAGATTTGCATCTACAACACCGACAGAGATGGTTGTACGTGGGTGGAGTGGTGAAACCGGAAAGAGCGGCGGCAACAACGGAAAGGTCAGCGGTGGCGGATCCGGAAAGGGAGGCGGCGGTTGGGTGGTGGCTTTTTTTTCTGGCGGCGCAATTAGGTGGTGGCGGATTGCTTACTGGCGGCGGCAGTTGGGTGGTTTTTCCGTCAAAAGCTATGCGATCAGGGTTGTTTTTTATTTTTGTAATTGTAAATAGAATTAGTTATTAGAAATCATTAAGGGTAATTTTGTCTACTAAAACATTTTTAGTCCTATGAAACATGGAAGTCCTATTTGTGCAATCTAATGTTGTTTAATTCCCTAACTCTTCTGATGATGCTTTTCCCTAAAATTTATGTCCAGTTTGTGCCTCATATGGTTGCAAGTTATAACTGATTGTACTTTGACATAATTCATTACAAGTTATACCTGATTGTACTTTGATATAAATATATAATTCACCACCCCGGTCTGTTACAAAAAAAATGTTGTTCCACATAAAATTTGTGTCTTGATCAGTGTTCTAAAAGGCGGCCCAAAATCCAACTGGAAACCAAAATTGAACTACGGCCATGAGGGAAAGCAAAAGGCCCGTCAGACGAGGCCCGCTATAGGTGAACCCTTAGTGGCAAGCCTTAGGTCTGTAACTCAAGAGGGATTTTATATAGGCTGTGGAAGGACGAACTCTTCATCACCTCCGGGGAAACACATAGCGTAGTAATATAATAAAGCCTAAAGGGGGAGAAACCATTCTACGACTTGCAAGCCATTTGAATAAAATCCCAGCTACATGAAATTAACCAAAAACTATGCTACTAACGTACTAAGTATTACTCTGTAGTCTGTACTTCATACTGAAATTATTGTAATTCTTTTTATTCTCCTTATTATTATTAATTTGACTGTGTATTATTATCATCTTAATTTATCATCTTGATACCAGACTTAAACAGATCAGGTGAGACTAATTTTTGACAATGACAAAATACATATAAAATAAACAGATGCAAGAAAGATCAGACCAAACACGTTGAGAATAGACCAAGTAAGTCCAGAAATTTTCAATTCAATTAAAAACATCCAATTGGAAATTGTGTTCTTAGAACATTATAAATTTACTTTTATTTGAAATTCAGAACGTAATGGTGTTTTTCGCATAATATTATGTAGTATTCTCTCATTCCGTTAAGATTGTCTCTTATTTTCTTTTCAGTTCGTTCTACTAAAATTCTTACTTACCAAATTTGGTAAAGTTTATGTGATTCTAAATCATTATTACTTTATAAATTCGATATCAATCATATAAATTCTCTTTTCTTAATAAGTTTACCACATCTTCACGTCTTAATGTTAGTGGAACAGAAGTAGTGCTAAATTTACATTATAATAAGTGTTAGGAAAATTAAAATTATGATGAAACAATCAACACGTCTTTTCACGCCTACGCCTCGCCTAAACTCGCCTAGGCTTCAAAGGCTTGAGCTTTGTCGTGCCGTCTCGACACGTCTTACGCCTTTTATTAGAAGATTGGTCTTGATTGCTAAGTTTTGGTACGGTAGCTGCTAATATCTGCTATCCGATCAAAAAATAAACAATTACACAATTAAGCCTGAAGGTCCACTTTTTTCCCATACGTTTTCACTTTCACGGGCATATGAAAATGTTTTCCATGTTCTAAAGCAGGTCTTTGGTAACAGTTTGACATCAATTTTCATACGGTATCAAATTTTCGCATGAAATGATACACAATGCAATATCAATCCTACTTCGTATCCATAACTATAGCGGCATGGAGATGATGGAGGTATATGTATGGAGAAATTATAACTCTGGTTCAAATAAAGACGGGAAATTCAATTTTAAAAATTTGAATAAAAAAATACTCCGTAATAGATATGTAACCCCGGCTGAAATGTGAGAATGTTGGCAGAGAAAGTCTCATTTACTTTTGTTTAGCACGAAATCCAATGTAATAATGTGCGTATTGTATACGTAGAAGAGTAGCAAAAATGTAATACCTTAAAAAAAGTTTATACTCCTATTATATTTGAAATGTAATACCTTCAAAAAAGTTTACATTATATTTGACTTATGATGTTCGAATTGATATAAAATCAACTCTCCACTTCTATTTTTCAAATAAGTACTTGAAAATAGCCAAATTTTTATCATAAGGAAATGCACATACCGGCACACACCATATATTTATGGTGACATACCAATCTTAAACATAGTAGAGCCATTCATAAAATTACAACCCAAATGAGATAATTTCTACCATTCCTTCTCCATCTGAAATCTTTTTGTTTTTATTCCTTCAAATTATTACCAATTGAAGTCAGATTTTTGTCGATTTTTATTGGTTACCTCATAAGAAATCGTACAAGTGACATTTATGCATACATTTGATTTAACAATGGAGAATCCATGTGAACTTATTAAGTTTTGCAATCAATTTTAATACGGAGTAGTATTTTGGGTTCTAAACAATAGACGCTATTCAAAAATTATGTACTGCAAGAATAGTTATATGTCACTTATTATTGCAAACATGCATTTTACTACATTCGTTCTATACCTATTTACTAGTCCATGTTTTGACTTGAAAAGAGATCAAGAAAGTGAAAATCGAGTGTTCAATTCATAAGTTTTCCTTGTCCAATTCAAAAAAAATCATAAGTTTTCCATATTAGAGAATTAAATCGAAGTATGAACTATAAACCACCGGTTTTTTTATCGTAGAGGGAATTGAAATATGAGTTCATATTGAGACATTCGTAAAATAAAGAAGGAAAATTATTTTGGGACTGATTGAGTATTTGTAAACCAAAATATATACTTCGTAATTACGAAACAATCATTTTGCACAATCGACATGTACAACCATTATGTAACTGGATTGCATAAGATTGTTGTTCAGTTAAACTGAATTTGACCCTCCATTACATTACAAACGTATAATGGTTTGATCGACTATATAATAATACTTATATATAATGTGTAGTAATGATTCTTTATGTACAAGTATTGATGCATGAATGAAAGAGACACAAATTTCATGTGTTTATAATTTAATTCCCCTTTAAATTACACTTTAAATTACTCACATAACAAGTTTCAATTCGCAGTTTCACATCAACTCACTAGATAAGTAGATAATAAAGATCAAATTTGCGGAATAATAATTTATAGTTGTGTGAATTACATATGAGGCAGTAATTCTCAAAAGACGTCAACTGAACAGCACGGGCATAACCAGAGCACTACGCCAAATTAGGCTGACACAAAAGAACCAATAATCGTGTATTATACAAAATTTATTATACT